GGTGGTGGGGCGGGGCCCAGAGAGTTTTTAAACCTGTAGCCATTGATTTCTTTAGTGTATTGCACTCAGTCTTGTTTTCAGAATGACACAGTAACCCCCAGTAGATTTATGTGCAAACACAAAGATTAGTGACCCAGAAGCTTGACTGAAACAGCTTTTCTGCTTCCAGAAGACAGGTTGCTCTGCACATGCACTGACTATTTTGTCAGGAAAGATGCACTGGCCCCATTAGCTTTTCATTCTCTCATGAAAAACCCTCAGTGTTTATACAGCACAGCTTGGTTTTAATTTTATTGAGCTCTTCAGTAAAGTGGTCTAACTATAGAGATTGCTCAGTTTCTGGGACAGAGAAGAGCAAGAACTTAACTCATATACCTTAACAGTATAGTGTTAGCATATCTTCAGTTGTCTGACTCTCATATCTACTGCTTGAATAGCTTTCAAATGAAGAAAAATATAACTAAAATATTCAGCGTGTTCTGTTGTTATTTAACAGTAAGCAGTGTGGTTAAGCCAGGTCTTAAACGTGCTTAATCCCGCTGAGCTAAATAGATTTTATTATTGACTCCCATGGTCCCAGAACTCTGACCTTAAGGCTGAAGTTAAAAGCTAATTTTTTGCAGTCTGTTCCACTAACCCAGAAGCACTTGCTTGCTGGATACATTTGCAATGGAGAATGTCCAGCTGTAAATTACAGCTGTTTGTAATCATACCCAAACACAACACTCATTATTATTCTTTTGTTCTTTTTAGGCTGAAAAGCCCACCATGAGGGAGACCGCACAATACTTAATCCACACATTAAATTTACTCGCAGCTCATATTCATGCGCGAGATAAGATTTTCCATGAAGTAAAGATTTACAGTGGTCCTAGGGCACTTTTAGTCCCCTAGCTGCTTTTATTTCTCTGTAGTGCTGTAGTGTAGGCCAAGTGGGTCTGCTGAAGGGTTTTGAACACTTAGAGGAAAGCGTTGTACCACCGCTGAATTTCCTCTCTTGTTGTAATAGGGGAAAGATAGCTCATTCACCACGGTGCTTGGGTGGCACTTAGAAGGCATGCTTAATTCACAGTTGCGGTCTGTTATCCTTTGTGTGTACTTATGCTGGAGGACGCAGGCAGACCCTGCTCGTGCAAGCCTCAGCGCAGGCGTGTAGGGCAGAGCGAGAGCTGAACCCGCTCAGCCCAGCAGCCATATGCCGTGCTGGCAAGCCTTCTCATCCCAGCTGATAAGTCCTATAAAAAGTCCAATCACTAGATTACACTCAGCACCTGATTAATATATATGTGTCATCCAGACCTGAACTTTTAGGTACAGGCTATGATAAACCTTTTTGATTTACCACCTGGGGCCGTTGATAGACAACACCACTAGCATCCATGTGACAGTGTCGACAAGCCCTGTTCATGATGGTTGGTGAGTTATACAGCCTGTCTGAGCTTCGGTCTGCCTTCCTGTCAGGCAGAAGGGATAGTGCTTTGCATTTCCATGTAACCATGCCTTGTTGTCGTGGTTTAACCCCAGCCAGCAACTAAGCACCAGGCAGCTGCTCACTCACTGCCCCTCCCCACCCAGTGGGATGGGGGAGAAAATCAGGAAAAGAAGTAAAACTCGTGGGTTGAGATGAGAACGGTTTAATAGAACAGAAAAGAAGAAACTAATAATGATAATGATAACACTAATAAAATAACAACAGTAATAATAAAAGAATTGGAATGTACAAATGATGCACAGTGCAATTGCTCACCACCCGTGGACTGACACCCAGTTAGTCCCCAAGTGGTGATTCCCCCCTCCCCCAGTTTATATACCTAGATGTGACGTCACATGGTATGGAATACCTCGTTGGCCACTTTGGGTCAGGTGCCCTGGCTGTGTCTTGTGCCAACTTCTTGTGCCCCTCCAGCTTTCTCGCTGGCTGGGGATCAGAAGCTGAAAAATCCTTGACTTTAGACTAAACATTACTTAGCAACAACTGAAAACATCAGTGTTATCAACATTCTTCTCATACCTAACTGAAAAACATAGCACTGTACCAGCTACTAGGAAGACAATTAACTCTATCCCAGCTGAAACCAGGACACTTGTCTGTCCGTGTTTGATCACGGTTAGGACATTGAAATGTTGGCATGAGCTGGTTTACCCTAATGGGTCTGGCCAGTTGCACTTAAGATCCTGAAAGGCAAACAAATACTCCGTGTTGTCCTCTGGACCAGTGAAGAGTTTGGGGAGCTGAGCAGCAGGTCGTGTGAAGCAGCAGAGCCCCACATCTGAAGGGAGAGAGACGTTTGCAAGCAGAAGTACTGCTGCACTGCTTCTCATGGGTGTGTGCACACATTTAGCACTCAGCTGCAAGGAAAATCAAACGGAAAAGGTTGACCTGGGACAATCTAGTCCGTTGCCCTGATCATGTAAGCAGCCACAGGATCAGTGATTAGTCCAGTGGTATCTGTAGCATGGCTTTTCTTCTTCAGACAAAGCCACATTGAGATACACCATTTGGGTTAGGAGGCCTGGGGAGTGACTGCCTGTAAAGCATTAAGGCAACAATAAGAGGCAATTTAGACTTTTAATACATGGCTTAAAGCAGGGAAGGCAGCTGTCCAAGCAGCCTTAAAACTTTCAGTGGACAGAGCCAAAGATTTCTTGTTCTCAAGTATCTGCTTGAGCTCTGATTAAGCGAAGCAGTTAAACTTGTGATACCCTAAAGTAAGTAAATAGTCCAGTGGCAGCTAGCAAAAATACTCATGTGCTTCATGTCACTTACATACTTATGTTTGTGTTGGAGTGAGTTTTTCGATAACATCGCCTTTCACACCGTGAGAGTCCTCCACATGAGAAGCTATGTGGT